TGCTTTGGATGTTGCAAAAAATTGGAATCATCTAAACTGAGTCCAGCTGCCTAATTCTAAATATACATTTTTTTCACCATAAAAACAAAACAAACAAACAAAAGAAGGCCTTCAGGGCTACAGGCATAACTCAAGTGGCAGAACTTCTGGGCTCTAAATTCAAACCCCAGCACCAGGTTGAGTAGTCTAAGACATAGTCCAGAAAAGTCCAAGTTTTTTGTGTCACCTGAAACAAAGAACTGGATAGAGACACAGATTAAAAACAGTAGCAAAACTTTATTGAAAGAAATGGAAAGAAATAGTAAGGGAGTTGGGGGAAAATCACTGCCAGAGAAGCAATGGTCCCCTCCCAGATGGCATGGAAGCATTTATCTCGTTTAAAAACCAATTTTATAAGTTAAAGGTGGTAAACAATTCTGGGCAGTTCTATTCGGAGGGGCTAAGGTGACAGGCAGGTTTACTTAAATAGCCTTATCACAAACAAGGGGTTATTTGTGCTTATGCTAATGTTTGGCCTGTTGATTGTATGCATTGAGATGACCAATATACAAGATGTCTGAGTAAGAGGACTTGGCCTTGGGATTCAAAATGGAGAACAGGTTTTTTTTTTTAAACTGGCCTTGGATTTTCAAATTGGAGGTAGGCCTTTTTTAACAAACAAAAGCAGGCACCAAACATGGACCATGCCTGGGTTTGAACTCAGGGTCTCAAAGCTTGCTAGGTAGCTTTCTATTACTTGAGCCAAGTCCTCCAGCCCTGCTAGATGCCTATCTTGCCAAAGATATTTACAACGGGCCACGGTATTTACAACTTTAGAGGCTTTATTGCCCAGGGTCATGCTAGGAATGTCTGTTAGAGAGAATAGTCTCTGCAACAAGTTATTTTATTCATGTTTGTTACCGACTCAAGAGGAACATCCAGAACGTCACTGATGCCCTGTAAAAACTGGTGTCTCCATTCTTGCATGGCCTTGACCTTGTTTCCCCCTCATCTTTCTTCCCTTCATTCTTTTTTTTTTTTTTTATTATTCATATGTGCATACAAGGCTTGGTTCATTTCTCCCCCCTGCCCCACCCCCTCCCTTACCACCCACTCCACCCCTCCCCTCCCACCACCTCAATACCCAGCAGAAACTATTTTGCCCTTATCTCTAATTTTGTTGTAGAGAGAGTATAAGCAATAATAGGAAGGAACAAGGGTTTTGCTGGTTGAGATAAGGATAGCTATACAGGCATTGACTCACATTGATTTCCTGTGCATGGGTGTTACCTTCTAGGTTAATTCTTTTTGATCTAACCTTTTCTCTAGTTCCTGGTCCCCTTTTCCTATTGGCCTCAGTTGCTTTTAAGGTATCTGCTTTAGTTTCTCTGCATTAAGGGCAACAAATGCTAGCTAGTTTTTTAGGTGTCTTACCTATCCTCACCCCTCCCTTGTGTGCTCTCGCTTTTATCATGTGCTCATAGTCCAATCCCCTTGTTGTGTTTGCCCTTGATCTAATGTCCACATATGAGGGAGAACATACGATTTTTGGTCTTTTGGGCCAGGCTAACCTCACTCAGAATGATGTTCTCCAATTCCATCCATTTACCAGCAAATGATAACATTTCATTCTTCTTCATGGCTGCATAAAATTCCATTGTGTATAGATACCACATTTTCTTAATCCATTCATCAGTGCTGGGGCATCTTGGCTGTTTCCATAACTTGGCTATTGTGAATAGTGCCGCAATAAACATGGATGTGCAGGTGCCTCTGGAGTAACAGTCTTTTGGGTATATCCCCAAGAGTGGTATTGCTGGATCAAATGGTAGATCGATGTCCAGCTTTTTAAGTAGCCTCCAAATTTTTTTCCAGAGTGGTTGTACTAGTCTACATTCCCACCAACAGTGTAAGAGGGTTCCTTTTTCCCCGCATCCTCGCCAACACCTGTTGTTGGTGGTGTTGCTGATGATGGCTATTCTAACAGGGGTGAGGTGGAATCTTAGTGTGGTTTTAATTTGCATTTCCTTTATTGCTAGAGATGGTGAGCATTTTTTTCATGTGTTTTCTGGCCATTTGAATTTCTTCTTTTGAGAAAGTTCTGTTTAGTTCACATGCCCATTTCTTTATTGGTTCATTAGTTTTGGGAGAATTTAGTTTTTTAAGTTCCCTATATATTCTGGTTATCAGTCCTTTGTCTGATGTATATTGGCAAATATTTTCTCCCACTCTGTGGGTGTTCTCTTCAGTTTAGAGACCATTTCTTTTGATGAACAGAAGCTTTTTAGTTTTATGAGGTCCCATTTATCTATGCTATCTCTTAGTTGCTGTGCTGCTGGGGTTTCATTGAGAAAGTTCTTACCTATACCTACTAACTCCAGAGTATTTCCTACTCTTTCTTGTATCAACTTAAGAGTTTGGGTCTGATATTAAGATCCTTGATCCATTTTGAGTTAATCTTGGTATAGGGTGATATACATGAATCTAGTTTCAGTTTTTTGCAGACTGCTAACCAGTTTTCCCAGCAGTTTTTGTTGAAGAGGCTGCTATTTCTCCGTCGTATATTTTTAGCTCCTTTGTCAAAGATAAGTTGCTCATAGTTGTGTGGCTTCATATCTGGGTCCTCTATTCTGTTCCACTGGTCTTCATGTCTGTTTTTGTGCCAGTACCATGCTGTTTTTATTGTTACTGCTTTGTAATATAGTTTGAAGTCAGGTATTGTGATACCTCCTGCATTGTTCTTTTGACTGAGTATATCTTCACCAGACTTTTCCTTGGGCCCAATAGCCTGTAAAGTATAGGTCCCAGTAGTAAACATAAAGCCTTCCCTCCCTTTGCCTACACTAGTTCCCGTGTTTTTCCTTAGGGGAATTTGCCCCTTCCTCCACCATGGGAAGCAGTAGAGAACAGCTCTGCAGTAACTCTACTTGGTCCACTCTACCACTTCCCAGGTGTGTGAACTTTGCAAAGCTTCTTAATTTCTCACTGTTCCCATCTGTAAAATGGAGATGATAATATTAACTACCCCCAAAGGGTTCGAGTGAGGATATCTAATCCTAATTAATGTAAGTGCTTTACTTTAGCCACTGTTCTTCGCCCCTGAGTGAGGTAGGTGGAAGGGACGCCTGCTTCAGGTGTATATAGGGTGTGGCTTAGACCAACGAGCATAGCCCATCCCACACCAGACTGATGAAAAGGGAACCCAATATTCAGTACAGGCTAGTGTCATAAGAAACCTTGTTGGGTCTTCTGAAAAGAAAGTTACCATTTTTCTTTTCCTGATTAGAACAAACAAATAGTAAAAAGACATTTGTGAGACAAACAGGGAAAGAGAACATACTTGAACTCCAAATATTAAACAATATTTGGGAATTATTAATGTTGTTAGGAGTAATAACTGTGATGAGGTTATATTTTTTAAAGGTTTTTACTTAGAAACGTACACCAAAGTATGCATGGGTGAATGGTGCGATAACTTCAAGGCACTTTAAAATATCCCTCTCCTTAATTCAGGGCATATTTCATCTATGAGTGCCATTCCTTTTATGTATGGACAACATTCCATAATCAAACACAGTATGACTCCTACAGTGGAACACGAATGCTCACACCAAGTAGGACAACAACGAGACCAGGTGTGGTTTGCTGCACCATAAGTTTTGTCACCAAGAACATAAAAAAAAGGAAAAACAAAAACTATGTTTTATAAATAAATAAAGTATTCCTCTTCATCTTCCAGAAAAGTCATAGATGAAACAAGATTGACAACATGTCCTTAGTGTTGAAGCTGGGGATTTGTGATATTATTTGCTCTATTTTTGTCTATTTGTTATTTTTCATAGGACTGGGGGGTATGCCTCAATGGTAGAGCACTTGCCTAGCATGTGTGAGGTCCTGGGTTTGATCCCCCAGTACCATAAATAAAAGGAGCAGGCGGAAAGTTTAATAATACAAAGGGGTTTTGGGGCAGGGGATAAGAGTGGGTAACAGAAAGGGGTAAATGCAATCAAAGCACCTTATATGCATGTATGGAAATGTCATAGTGAAATCCATTAATTTGTACAATTAATATACACAAATTTTTAAAAAGCATTTGGTGTTGGTAGCTCACACCTGTAATCCTAGCTACTTGGGAGGCTCTGATTGAGAAGATCATGATTCAAGGCCAGACCAGACAAAAAATAATTTGTGAGACCCCCCATCTCTAAAATAACCATAGCAAAATGGACTGCAGATGTGGTTCAAGTGGTAAAGTGCCTGCTGTGCAAGAATGAAGCCCTGAGTTCAAACCCCAGTCCCACAAAAAAAAAGTTATGGGCAGGTGGGTGGGTGGGTGGGTAGAGGATCATACTACTCACTAAACTAATAGACTGGTTCTCCCTCTTTGCTCCACTTCTCCCTGAGAAAATAAACAAGGCAATGATGTGAACAGAAGTCTTTATTTTCTCTAAAAATGAAGGTGAAGGGAACTCATTAGAAAAAGAAAGCGTCTACGTGATGGAGAATGGGGAGCTCCAGCTTCACACTGTGGCTGCAGGACGCTTAACAGAATAAATCCATTGTGACTCAGGTTAGCGGTGATCTTCCTGGGTCAGTCCAGGCTCCAGGGCTATGACTAACATTTCAATCAAAAGTTCGAGGCTACACTCCCTGAAAATATGCGGTGCTGAAGCTCCTGTCACCTCATCTGAGGATGTAGACTGGTGGATCTGGAGATGGTGAGGAAACTGTCCCAACTTCCCAGGCTTCTCTTCCAGCCCAGTTCTTTTGCCCCAGAGGGTTGCTGACTTTCCAAATCTTCAAGAAGAATGGTCTGTATGTGGGGATGTCGTATGCCATGAGGCAGCCTCCCAAGAGGGCTGTGTGTATAAAGGTTTCCAGAAGGGTCAGGAGGATGAGAGGAGGTAGGAGTCACTGCAGTGGCAGCAGCCAGCCAAGAGGACAGTCCTTTGCAGTTGGCCTTCTCTTTGGTCCCCTTTCATTATGGATTGGGCCTGATAAAGCCATGGCTTTCCCACCAGCTACTCCCACTGGATTCCTAGAAGCTCACAGCTGACTTTCCACAGGCGCTCGGCTGTTTTTGTATTTCGGGCCCTTGCAGACACCCAGGTCCTCTTGCAGTCACTGGGGGCAGGAACAGAAGGTGGAGATTAGGAGTGAGAATTGGCAGCCTGGGAGTACTCGTGGTCTCTTTCTAAGAATATATTTCCAAATATATAAAGCATAATATACTGGATTTAGATAACATACACTGAAATGCATTTTTTAAACATTTTAAAGCAACTTTGTAATGTAGTAATGCATCATAGGCTTCTTTATTAATGTATTCTACAACATGATAATAACCAGATTTCAAAGTAGTGGTGAGCAGAAGTGGTATTAAGGTACATCTGCAACAACCACAATGTGACATGAAAATATCTACAACTCTATTGGTGACAAAGTCACCAATGTCACCACTACTACTGTGGTGCATTGCCTGTACTCATAATTGAAGGAAATGCTAAACTTCAATTGGAGGTCTGTGAAATTAAAGATGAAATGATTTTTTGGTGGTACTGGGGTTTGAACTCAGGGCAGATGCTCTACCACATGAGCTATTCCACCAGCCCTGAAATGATTTTCTTATCTACGTGTTCAGACCCCTTGAATTCTGTCCAGAGGCACTTGTCTAGGAGCCCCAGTGTTCTGGAGTGAGCAGGGGGTTCTGGGGATTAGAGGGGTAATGGGGTGAGGGTAGAATACAGTTCTTATAGTGTCCTTTCTAACTGTAAAAGTGCTAGATGACCTTTGAAAAATATAATATTGATAAAAGAAGCTGCCATTTAACTGCTTTTTTTTTGACAGTGTTGTTTGCTTTGTCTGTGTATAAATAGATGTACAGTCTTTCTCTTTTATACAAAATTGTACTTATACTGTATTTAGTTTTGGGATGACATCTTTCTCTTGTTAAAATATATCTTAAATTACATAAATAAATATAAATCTTTCTTCTAAAATGATTTAAATAATATAGAAATACCTAGAAAAAAAGTCAAAATCCTCTTTTACACTCTGCTTGACTCTCCCTCAAACTCCTAGAAATAGCTGCTACTACACAGTAGCCAGTCTTCCAGACTATTCTCTATGTATTACAATGAATACTTGCATAGGTTTGTATGATAGGGTTTTTCTTCTCATGATAATTACATTACCACAATTTCTCATTAATTAAATATCATTTGAAACTATATCTAAGGCTGAGCATGGTGGCACATATCTGTAAACCCATTTACTCCAGAGGCAGACACAATCACAGTTCAAGGCCAGCCTAGGGAAAAGGTAGCAAGACTCTATCTCAATAAAAAGCCAGCTGTGGTGGTTGAGGCCTGCGGTCTCAGGTACTCAAGAGGCAGAGGTAGCAGGATCGAGGCTTGAAGCTAACTCCAGGCAAAGTTAGTGTGAGACCCTATCCGAAAAACATATTAAAATTGAAAGGACTGGGCATAGCTCAGGTGGTACAGTGCTTGCCTAACAAGCTCAGGTCCCTAAACTCAATCCCCCAGGCTGAAAAAATTCTGTCTCATCTTTTTTTTTTTTGGCCTTGCCTGTATTGGGGTTTGACTCAGGACCTTGTGCTGGTTAGGCATCTCTACCACTTGAGCCACCCTCAGCTGTTAGATCTTAGTTATCTTTTGGATAGGGTCTCCCAGTTTTGCCCTCAGCCAGCCTTGAACTGTGATCCTCTTACCCACAGCCTCCTACATAGCTGAAATTTCAGAAGTATACCACCATGCTTGCATAACCAATACAAAAAAGTTATTAATGAGATATTTCACATTTTTTTCCATACTATGCCTTCAAAATCTGGGATACACTTTACACTTAGAGCACATGTCCACATGGACTAGTCAGAGTTCAAGTGTTTAGCAGCCACATGTAGCTAATGGCAACCACACTGAACAGCACAGCCCTGGAGCCAGACTGCCTGGGTGTAAACCCCAGGTCTGCCTCTTGTAAACGTTATGCCCTGGGGCAGATATCTTAATTATTCTCTGCTTCAGTTTCATCTGTCAAATGGAGATAAGTTACCCACATCTCAGAGTTATAAGGACTTTATGAATTAATACACATGAAATACTTATGAAGTCTAAGCACCTTCTAAGAGCTCACTCAACACTAGCTGTTCTCATTTATCTCGCCCCTATTGTTGGACTTGAGGTCATTACCAATGCTTCATTTAACAAACAGCGCTCTGACTGACAGATTTGAATAAAGTGGGCACCAGAGCGGACTAGACTGGATGGAGTCAGGGGTGAGACAGGGACTTAATTCTGGACTTCCCTTTATCTACATGCTGACTGCACACTGAGCTTCTGGTAAGATTGCACTGAACTCGGTTTTATTTTCAAGCAGGTAATGCAAATCTTGACAACACTGGGAGACAGAGTTCACACTGGAGACAGATGACCTTCCCATAGCTCTCTGTACCCAGTGGTATCAAAAAATTCATGAATAAAATCAACCAAAAGCTTAGAGAAGGAGAAAAAGGATTCTCTAATGTTTCTCCTACCATAACCAACGGGCACAGTCTTCAACAGCGTTCAGAAAGCTATAGAGTTGACACAGATATAAAATAGAGCCATCAAAGTAATTCTTTCCAACAGAAGTTTTAGGCAGGCAGCATGGCTCAAGTGGTAGAGTGCCTGCCTAGCAATTAAGTGCAAGGCCCTGAGTTCAAAACTCACTACCACCAAAATAAACAGCAAACAAAAAACCCCCAGAAGTTTCTAAACTAATACCAACTCAGCTGCTCAGGGAGTCCTTGCTTCTTTCTCATACACACAGGCGGTGGAGAGACCCCTGTGCTGTTGCCACATACCTGAAGTACTTGCCACTCAGAGGCTCCAGGCCCTCAGCTAGGGCACAGTGCAGACTGGTCTGTGCACCCTGCCATGCTGATTTGATGAAGGGGGAGAAGAGCCGCCAGAACAGGCACAGCAGGAAGGAGTGACGGACCAGCTCTGAGCTGACAATGCCTGGGTGCACTGCATAGGTGGTGACTCCCGTGCCTAGGGTGAAGAAAGCACAGTGAGACCAGGTATACACTCTGAGCCCTGGTGCGTATTTTGCGCCTCTCTGCAGCAAAATACACAAGGGAGAAGGAGGAACTCACGAAGCCCACCCCTCAGGATTCAGAAAGCTACCACTCTTAGCCAGGCAGGACCTGCCGGGAATGAATTGATCTCTTCCAGAAAGATCTGTAGCCTTCTCGGCCTTCTATGTTCCAAAAGAAGGGTCCTTCTATTTCAATGTCACCTTTATACTGTGGCTTAAGAACTACTAATTAAAACAAAGTGTAATAAGTAGTAGTAGAATCATCAACTATCAACAGAGGTATCTAGTATTTCTATAGGAGGAGCTTAGGAGCTGCCATCTGTTTGGAAGTAGGAGGGCTGGGCCTAGCTGTGAGGGGCATTTACCTGGCAAACACACTTTATGAGGTGTAGATTGAGGGGTATTGATGGAGATCATAGACTAGCCTATTCCCCAAGACACCCCTGATACTTACTATGTGCAAGGGCTGTGCTACATGCTTTACCTGCATTGTCTCACTTAATTCTTTTTTTTTTCCAGTGGGAGGCTACGAGGGATTGAACCCCGAGCCTCCTGCTTACTAGGCAAGTGCTCTGCCATTTGAGCTACACTGCCAGCTCTTTTTGTTTTTATTTTATTCTGAGATAGGTTCTCACTAACTTTGCCCAGGCTGGCCTCAAATTTGGGCTTCTCCTGCGTCCCTCTTCCCAGTAACTAAAATTACAAGCATGCACCACCCCTCCTAGCTTCACATTTATTTTATTTTTTTTTTTTTTGAGGGAGGGAAGGGTTTGAAGTAACTCACTCTTGCTAGGCAGGTGCTGTACCACTTGAGCTACACCCTCAGCCCACATTTAATTTTTTTTTTCTAGGCAGGCACTCAACCACCTGAGCCACACCTGCAGTCACTTTTTGCTCTGGTCATTTTGGACATAGGGTCTCACTTTTTGGTCAGGCCAGCCTGAACAGTAATCCTCCTATTTTAAGCTTCTTACTGTCTCTCGGATGACATGTACACGTCACTTCACCCAGTTACCTCATTTAATTCTTAAAGAGACTTTGTGGTAGGTAACATTACAATGTCCATTTACAGCTGAAGAAACTGAGTCACAGAGAGGTTAAGTAAATTGCCCAAGGTCATACCTAGCAGGTGCAGGGAGAAGGTCTGAGCCCTACAAGAGTCCAGAGCCTGACTGTCTGGATTTGATTCCTGGCTCAGCTAGGCAATTTGTTTGAGCAAATTTCTAAATTTGCCTGTGTTTTCATTTGTATGGGAGAAATAAGAGTTCCCACCTCATAGAAATATTGAGATGCTTAAATGAGTTTAAGACGTGTAGTGCGTACATGGCACATGAGGCTCCCAATTGTATCATTATTTATTTTTATGATTGTCCTATTCTTCTGCCTTTGGCATTCTGACTCTAAAGATCATTGTTCCCAAAGTCTGGTTAATTCGGATGGTTCCCCAGATTCACAGATGTAAGAGCCAGCAGCTCATACAAAACTCCAAAGGAGCATAGAATCCTTAAGGATTAAGAGTCACCCTCACCTAATTATACAGCTGAGACATGGCGTGTGGGAGGCTAAAGGACATGGCTGCATTCTCACAGGGAAGTAGGCGGAACAGTGAGAACTTGAACCCAGGGGCTGGAAATCCACCCCTAGCTCCCTGACTCTAGGCAGTGGTGCTCAGTAACTTAGCTCACCATGGGACCGCGGCAAATGGCACATGGAAGAAAGCACCCTGGATTGAAAGCAGAGCACCCACATTCCAGTTCTTACTCCTTCACTTGCCAATATAATCTTGAGTTGGCCACTTTCTCAGACCCCAGTTCTGGTCTATAAAACAGGAATAATAGCACGTACTCTGCCCATTGCAAAGGGTTATTGTCAAAATCAAGTGATATAACAGACATGAGATAAAATGTGACAGTTGTAAGGTAGCTTTATGGGGTTCCTAGCACCTATTCAGCATTAAGCTTCCTGGGGGCAAAGACTATTGAGTTCGTGACCTCTTTATTTTTTATGCACAGAGCTCCTACTGAAAAGTGCACGTTTGATAACCTGACTCCAGAAGTTCTGTAATCTGGACTGAGACCTGTTTTTATTATTTTTAACCCTGGTCCTTTCTCCAGACTTACCTTGGAGCCTCTTGGCCAGCTCACGAGTGAAAAGCACATTGGCCAGCTTGCTGTGGCAATAGGCAAAACCATTGCAGTAGCGTTTGTCACCATGGAGGTCATGGAAGCGAATCTTGCCAGCGTGGTGAGCCACTGATGACAGGGTTACCACCCGTGCTGGAGCAGATTCCTTTAGCCGCCCCAGGAGCAGGTAAGTAAGAAGGAAGTGGCCTATGGGGCAGATAGATTAAAGGGTAAGAATGATAGATATCCTAGGCTTAGGGTGTGGGAGCTGATTACAGGACATCAGCATTAGCTCACTGTCTTCTGGGTGTGAAAATTTTGATACCATAGTAACTCAGTGCTAATGGTCACTTGGTCTGCATTGGTGGATTCCCCAAAGCAAGGGCCAGAGTTAAACTATAGTAAGGAAATAATACTTAATCTATATTTTCTGGACCTCTGCTCTTGCACCACTCAGTAAAACCAGTCTGCTGGCTCCCAACTTCTCCTCTTGCTATGACTGCACAACCGTGGACCCAGGTATACTCATATATGGAAGGAAGATAAAGTAGTCAGGGAAAATAACCCTTTCCGAGGATCCGAGAACATGCTCCATGCTCTTCTCTTAGAACCATTACCTTGAATTTGAACCCTAGACTGTCTTCTACCTCAAGTTCCCAAGGTCCTCCTATCCACATAGACCAACCCTTACTTTGCTAGATCCTCATATGAATATGACTCCTCCAACCCCACCCAGATCCTGCAAACCTCCAGGCCTGGCTTGCCTGGCAAGTCCTATACTGACACTGCCCCATCCAATAATGACATTATTCTTCTGTCTCCTGAGACTGAATTTTTTAATAGCATGGTTAAGAGGGCCTCACTTTTTTATAATAGTCAAGATAACAGTGAAAAGAAGCAGTGTGTCCAGTGCATTAGAATTCTAGGAGATATGGGGTCTCTGGGGAGCACTGGAGAGCCTCAGGGATACTTTGGAGAACAAGATGTCTCACTTTTTAACCACCCAAGGATACTTACCCAGGTGGTTGACCCCCAGGTGGGTTTCAAAGCCATCTGCTGTCTTGGAATACGGACACATCATCACGCCTGCGTTGTTGATCAGAACATGGAGGTGCTTCTCCTCTGTTGAGCACAATCAAGGAGAGCCTGTGACTAATGAGGACTCCACTAGCTGGCATTTGTCCTTTGCCTTTGTGTACGAATTCTTTTTGGTGGAGCAAGGTTATTACTACCCTGTTCCTTTCTTCTTCTTCTTCTTCTTTTTTTTTGGAAGTACTGGGGTTTGAACTCAGGGCCTCATACTTGCTGGGCAGGTGCTCTTCCACTTGAGCCACTCCACCAGCCCTGCTCCTTTCTTCTAAGACAGGTGTTACCTCAGCAGGCAATAACTACCTCCCATTTGGACCTGTCTTGGTGGTGTTCAATAACCATGGTCATGGTCATGGGGTTTCTAATTTTAGTTGCTCAGATCTTCCTGGACATCCTTTATTCATTTATTCAGTCAGTGTGTACTAACGACCGAATCTGGACCAGGCCCACACTGCTGGGCCCTGGGAATCCAGTGGTAAAACAAGACAGACCTAGTCCCATCCCTCATGGATTCTATAGTCCTTGGTAGATTCTGGTCATTTTCCAAGACTAAGGAGAATTTTGGCAGTGGCACAAACTCATCTCATCCCTATGACTACAGAAGGTTGAATTTTCTGGATGAAATCAAGACCACACCTTGATGGCAAGGTGCAAGCCCGTACAGGGAGCTGACACCGCCAGCATTTCCACTGTGGAGGAAAATGGCGATAAGGATCCTGCCCAACTTCTCCACCCACCATCCTCTTGTCAATCCCTGTCCTGCTGGTTCATGTGGCAGAACCTGTCCAGTGGGACGCGGTGATTCTGATGTAAGGGCCACAGTAGGTCTAGGGTGGAGCAGCCATTCCCATACTTGGCTTCCTGCTTTCCTTGCTACCCACTGGAGCCTCACCTGCCAGAAAGCCCTCAGCAAAGGCGCGAATGGATTTGGTGTCAGATAGGTCCAGTTTCCGCACCAGCACCTGGGAGTTCTTTGTATCTGCTCGGATTTCACTGGCAGCGGACTCCCCCTTCAGCACATCGCGGCAGGCAATGTACACTCGTGCTCCTGGGGTCAAAACAAAAAGGTCAATGTGCTCAGTTCCTAGACTGAAAAAGCAGCACAGTAAGTGATCTTGGGACTGGTGGACAGAGCATCCTCCAGTCACCCCTAAAGTGGCCACATTGCTGCTTCCTGATACTGGAAGCTGTCAACTTAACCCCAGGCTGGGAACCCTGGTTTTACACTCCCAATATCTAAGGCTGGCCAGTATCTCCTCCTAGAATAACCGACTTGACCAATATTATACTCAGACTTGGACATCATTGTTGGTGTGTTGAGAGTCACAAAGTTAGTGTCACCTTAAGGTTCCTTAAGTCCTTTCAGACCCTCCAAGCCCAAGAGGAAAGACAAGGAAAGGTGGGCAGAGCCCCAGTGAGGAGGGTAGGAGGCATGGCTCTGCAGAAGACTCACCCCTGCGAGCAAGCTCCCTGGCAGTCTCCTTGCCGATGCCAGTGTTGGCGCCTGTGATCACCACTACCTTCCCAGGAAGCTGCACGTTTGTTCTGCAAACTCCACCACCAAAGAACTTCCTGTCAGTGAGGGAAATAAAAGCATCATGCACCATCCTTCCAAATCCCACACTGAAATGCATCCTATAAAGCCATCCAGCCTCAAAGAGGGACATCTTTATGTTGCATTCAGGACACCTGAACAAGCTAATCTGCCAGGGACATTTTTCTACTGAGCGAGGTAGTGGCCAGTTCATAGGTGCAAGTTGAAAGGTCATGGGCCAGGAGGCTACAAATGATCACATGGGCAAACAGAGTAAGTGCTCTTGAGCCACCAAGGGAGGCATTCTTTGTCAGACAACAGACATCTCCCGCTTTATCTCTAGAGGTTCCCAGAGATCAGCTTCCACCAGTAATCCACATTTGAAACATGCAAGATGAGTATTAGTGGAATCAAAGGTCCTAAGCCCTAGGTCTCCAAGAAGCATCAGAGAAACTGATGAACAGAACCCTGAGCAGAGGTTGGCATACACAAAAACCACTCTTGGGCTACTGTCCCAGTTTTAAGGAGCAGGGCACCCTCAGAGGCTTTCTGTCATGGTATTACGGATTTGATTCCAGCCATTGTCATGCACAGAGAAATCCTCCCTTGCTGACTTTTTGTTTTTGTTTTGTTTTATTTTGTTTTTGGTGTTACTGGGATTTGAACTCAGGACCTTGCACTTGTTAGGCAGACACTCTACCACTTGAGCCATGTATGCAGTCCCCTTTGTGACTTCTTGAGTTCCAAAAAAGGAAGACCCAAGGGGGACCAAGCTAACAGTTCCTGAGCATCACCTGACTGCCAGGCACCAGGCTAGGCACTTTCCATACATAATTTATTTTAGTCCTTTCAGCTACTCCAGAATGATTTCCACATTACAGTGGACAAAACTGAGATCAAAAGAAATCCAGGCCACTTCTAACTGTGGCAGAAGTGGAATTTGAGCCTAGATTTCTATACCAGGACCTAAAACGATGCTCTATTCCCAATATGTCCAGTTAACCTACTTTATCATTAACAGTTTTTAAATTCTCCACTCAGAACACACATTTCTTTGACACCTCCAGAAATTCCACAGCTAAAGAGCCTTTCCAAAACATTTATTGAGGGTAAAATCAAAGGGAAGAGAGTTTGTTTCCTCCCCAGGGTGCCTGCTACTTAACAATGAGTCTCTGCAGTGATCCCGGGTAACAGCCCAGCAAAGCCACCTTAACTATGGATAGAGAAGAAAGGGAGAGCCTCAGAGAAATCCAAGGAGATAGAATGAAAGAGCAAGGACTCTCACCTGAGCTAACTGTTAAACTATTTGGCAGAGTCATCCACTCAGCCTTCCACTGGTGTCAGAATTCAAATCAGCCCCACCTCCACTCACCCCAGGTGCTTCCTTCTCATTTTCCATCATGGTATCTATTATCTCTCCCTCCTGCTGGCTTTCTCTGCCCTTTCTCTCCCTCAGCCTCCTTCTCTTTCTCCTCTTTCAGCAGCTGAGAAGCCCCAGTGCAGGGCTTTGTAAATGATCATTATGAGTTTAAGACAAACCTGATGGATGGAGCTGTCACATACAAAAGTGAAAGGAAGGAGGTCAGCAGTCCCAAAATAACCAGCATCTTTCAACTTCTTTAGCTGCCGTTGTCCCAGCTTCAAACTCAGCTTTGTCTCCTGTTCCTGGTCTGGCTCCAACTCTTAGGTGCTACTGCTGCTTCTTGCTCCTCTCACTCCTGAGCATTCCGCAACAGCCTGTCTCTAAGCAGAGCCCAGAATCCTATTTAAATCCAAGAACTGTCAGAGTAGAGCACAGCCTCCTGGGAGATGTAGTCCTGGAGGAAAAGGGTTAGAGGCAAGATTAGAACTTCACACTTACTCACAAAGGGAATTAGGGAAAACTTGAGTCACTGCCCCCTAACTCTTCTACCCCAATTATGTTTCTCTTTTAGAAAATGTGCTCCCCCAGTCACTCCACTTTTATCTACTCCTGCAAGATAGATATTTGAATATACATTTATTGATTGATGGATTGATTAATAGTACTGAGGTTTGAACTCTGGGCCTTCCACCTGAGCCATATTCCCAGCCCATTTTTGTTTTTCAGATAGAGTCTTGCCCTTTTACCTGGCTAGCCTTGAACCTCAATCCTCCTACCCCAGCCTCCCATGTAGCTGGGTTTAGAGGCATGCATCACTCACCTGGCCAAGATGGAATTTTTTTTTTTTTTTTGCAGTACTAGGGTTTGAACTCAGGGCCTTCACCCTGAGCCACTTCACCAGCCCTTCTCGTGATGGGTTTTTCGAGATAGGGTCTCATGTCCAGGCTGGCTTCAAATCGCAATCCTCCTGATCTCTGCCTCCTGAGTAGCTAGGATTACAGGAGTGAGCCACCGGCTGAGGCAGGAGGATCACTTGCACCCATAAGTTCAAGAACCTGGGAAGCATAGAGAGACCCTATTTCAAAGACAAACAATGACAAAAGACAGACCTTATGATGCTTGAAAATATAAGTAGTATTAAAATAGAGGGATGAGGAAGACAGGGGTTGGGAGTGGAGGGTCTGGAGTTCCTGAGGGGGCTGGTAGTGTTCTATTCTTTGAGCTGGGTGCAATCACTAAAATGTCATTGAGTCATACAATTTTGATTTGAGCAGTTTTCTGTGATTCGTGTTATACTTCAATGAAGTTTACGAACCCAGGCACATGCCAAGGAAAGGGTGGAGTGTGTAAGTGTGTGGACTCTAGAGCTGGACTTCCTGCTTCAAATCCAGCTCATCTACTCACCAGCACTGTCTCTGTTAACTCAGTTTACTCACTTGCAGAATGAGCATGATTTCATATATACATATAAGGCAAGTAATCCATTTGTAAGGAAAGTAATCATACCTTTGCTCAAATCTTGAGTAAAGCAAGTAGAATAACAAGGGAGACAGGAATCAATACAGATAACCTAGCAGCTAACCCTTAATAGATGGTGCTTAATTTGTATATCAGTTTATACAAACTGATTCTCAGTTTGTCTGGGAGGCAGAGAGCCTTAAAGAATTGTATGTAAAACTCTGGAGAGAAGACATTAAAAGGAATATAAAACATGGAGAATTATGGAAATACACAAATAGTTTGCTAAAAACAAGTGTTAAATATTATAATCTAAAGATAAAGATTAGACCACTGATTAGTTGTACCAACATGTTAAAATGAATTACAAAACTATAATAATTTCAACATTGTGGTAGACAAATCAACAGAACAGAATGGAAAGGCAAAACACAGACCCAAATCCACATGGGTGTTTATATATGATTTAAAATATGCTCCTTTAAACCAGTGCGGGAAGAATAATGGTCTATTTAATAAATTACTGTAACATGTAGGTATGCATTTGGGAAAAAGTAAACTTTGATCATTTTTGTTTTTTTCTTTTGGTGGTCCTGGGGCTTGAATGCAGGGCCTCATGCTTGCTAGGCAGGTGCTCTACCACTAGAGCCACTCCACCTGCCCTTTTTTGTGTTGGGTATTTTTGAGATGGGCTCTCATGAACTATTTCCCTGGGGATGGTTTTGATCTCTGTTCCCAAGTAGCTAGGATTACAGGTGTGAGCCACCAGCACCAGCTTGACTCTTTATTTACTATTTAAACAAAAATTTCAGTAGATGAAAAATATAAATATGAAAAATGAAACCATTAAAGTACTCAGAGCCTTTGGCAAATTGAAAATAATTTTACAGTGGTAAGACATTTCTAATAAAACAAGCTCAGAAAACAATAAAGAAATGTATTTAAAAAAAAATCTTCCTGACAAAAAACAACATACAAAGATAAGACAAATGAAAATGGGGGGAGGTGATATTTGCAACACATATTGTGGACCAGAGTCTAATTTATTTAGTACATAAAGAGCTCTTACAACTCAATAAGGAAAAGAATAACAACTGATTTGAAATAATAGTTTAAAAAAAAAGAAATACATTCAGCCTCACTCATAATGAAGATGCAAATTAAAACAGCAACCTCACTCGTAATAAAAGACGCCAGTGTTCATTTATCAGATTGGCAAAGCCAAAAAGCATTATAATTACGGTCAGCTGTCAACAATGTGAAGAAATCACACTGATGTACTGTCATTGGAGAGTGAATAGTCCCAGCTTCCTTTCAGAGAGCCTGGTAAGAGCTTATCAAATTGCACATGTGCCCAGTGACCTAGACATTCCACTTTCTTGTATTTTAAGGTTATTGCAGCACTGTGTAAAGCAGCAGAAGACTGCACACCTTCTAAACACCCATCAAAAGTATGGCCATTGCAGGCACTATGCAGCGGTGAAGAGGGATGACTGTTAAACACACTGATGTGGAATGATCTCTGAGGAATGTTGGGGAAAGCAGGGAGCAGAACCGTGCTGGTGACACGCTGGCATTTGTCTGGAAAGTGGAGGGACTATGTGGACATTTTCGTGTGTGCCTAGAATGTCTCAGAAAAGATAACGATGGCAATGGTGGCTTCCTGGGGACAGGAGCGGGGAGGCTTTTCACTCACTGTGCCCTTGAGTACCTTGTGAGCTAGAACCTAAAACTTCACGTTTTCATCAAAAGACCCATATCACTGTCAAGTTACTTACTTGCTTATTTTTGTTAAATTAGTCATTGTAATACCATAAAATAAAGCCTATTTCTCAAACCAGCATTTAGACAAAGGTGCTTTGTCCTGTGACAAAGATCATGAACCAATCTGATACCTGCCTTTTAAGAACTTTCCATCCAAGACAGACATAGAGTCCTAGCAAGAAAGAGATGGAAATGTTTCTGGAAGAGGTTTTTTTTGGTGGTACTGAGATTTGAACTCGGGCCTTCTTGCTTGCTAGGCAGGTGCTCCCCTTGACCATGACTCCAGCTCTTTTTGCTCTGGCTACTTTTTAGATAGTGTCTCGCTTTTTCACCCAGGTCAGCCAGGACTGCAATCCTCCTGTTTTGGACTCCACCATTCCCAGTTTTTTTCTGCTGAGATGGGGTCTTGCTAACTTTTTCCCAGGCTGGCTTTGAACCCCAATCCTCTTAATCTCAACCTTCTGAGTAGGATTACAGATTGAGCCACCATGCCAGGCTTACCAGGAGTTTTCAGTTGGGGTCCTCAATTCTTGCATTCCCACAAGAGAAGATTTCAAGCAAGATGCAAAAACATAGTGAAAGTGCAGAAAGGTTTATTGAGAGAAGGAAGACTACTCCCATAGAGGAGAGCGGGTTGTTCAGAGAGGTCTACAAGGTACCTTTTTGTTCTTTTCTTGGCAGAACTAGGGTTGGAACCCAGAGCCTCACACTTTCTAGGCAGGCACTCTACTAGTTGAGTTATCCTGACAACTTGTTTTTACTTTAGTTCTTTTTCAAGTAGGGTATCAAGTGTTTGCCCAAGGCCAGCCTCAGATGGTGATCCTCCTACTTAGGCCTCCTAGGTAGCTGAGATCACAGGCATGATCACCATGCCAGGCTTACTGATTGACATGGGATCTCACTAGCTTTTTCCTAGGCTGATCCTCACAATCTCAATCTCCTCTTAAGTAGCTGAGATTACAGACACGATCTACCAAGCCTGGCCTATGATGGCACTTTTATTGAGGTTAAAGGGGAAGTTTTTGTAGTCTTTTTATAAACTTACCAAGACAGCATTGGGTTTCTATCAATTATATCTTATTGCAAACCCTTACACAATCCTTTTATAACACATTTCATAACCCTTCTGGTTTTGCCTTTGTCTGTTTTTTTCTTGGAACCATCCTTTAGACAAAACCTTATTTTACCATGTAAAAAATCCTTTTTATACAGAGGAGAATGTCCTTTTATATTTTTTTTTTACATTTTCTCATGTCCTAACATATTTTATCAGATGTATCTCAGCATAGACCTTAACACAATCCTTCTGTGACTTGCTTGTAGCCTTTTGGACTTGTCATTGTCTGTTTCCATTTTGGGACAATCTTTTTTTTTTTTTAATCCAAAAATTCTCTCCTTTGAATAATATCTCTCTCTTTCTCTTTCTCTCTCTCTCTCTTTCTCTCTCGGTGGTTCTGAGGTTTGAACTCAGGTCCTTACACTTCCTAGACAGGTGCTCTACCCATTGAGACACTCCACCAGCCCTTTTTTGTGTGTGTTGGGTATTTTCAAGATAGGTCTCACCTAACCCACAACTGAGACCTCATTTCCAACCATGATCCTCCTCCTGATCTCTGCTTCCCGAGTTGCCAGGATTACAGGCAAGAGCCACTGAAGTCTGGCTTATCTTTTACATTTGTTTTATTTCCTACTTACTAGTTTCTTTTTATCTTATTTTTTAACCCAAAGTATGTTTATGACAAAACAAAACAAAGATCATTCTTCAACACATAGCTACAGATATTACACAAACTTTGTTGCCAATTGGATTTAAGGGTGCCTTTACACATTTTTCCCCTTTGGTTTTACATGAATCTAAAAGTTACAGAATGTTGCATTCCAGCTAGGGCTGGCTCAAATAACAAAACTTCCAAATGAGCTGAACAGTAAATTTATCTTAGTATAAGCAAGAAGGCAGAAGGGAGAGAAAATTCACAAAGAGTGGCAAATCTTTACATGTTAACCTTGTAGTTGAGTTGCATTTTAGAGTACATTTGGTTTTCCCAGACACAGGAGAGAGGAAGTATAAACCTTCATTGTTGTGCAAGTTTTGCAAGATCAAAACTCCAAAATGAAACAGTAAAACTTAAAAGGAGGTCCACCATATTGAAAAGGAATCAGGTAGGCTTACCAGAATTA